ATTATCTCATAACACTGATATTGAGAATTACTGTATTAAAGAAGATTTGAGTTGATGGAAACATTAAAGAGCAGTTGTGGTTATCCAGGCAAGAGTTGTTGGGTAGGGGTGAACACCAGCATGAAGAAAAGTAGTTAACTTCCAGAAATATTTTGAAATTTAATTTAAAAATTTCAGGGTGAGGAGTCTGGTGTATTGGTAAGAAAGAGAGAAAGGATAACAAAGATAATTCCTGACTTTCTGAAAACCAAGAGGGCCACATTTAGTGGAAGAATAGAATGAGTTGTTTATTCAATCTTGGACATGTTTGGGGCACCGTTATGTTTCTGTTAACAGCAACAAAAGTCTGAGAGCAGCAGGAAAAGTCCATGACAGCGAGATGGATAAATAAATATGACATGTAAATTTGCTGGGATGTGATATAACCTTAAGTTACAGAATGATAAAGATTGTGAAGTAGAGTGACGAAAGATGGAATATGAATTTCAGTAATTGTAATTGTGTAAGGAAACATACACAGAAAAGGTACTGAAAGAAAGAACATGAACATTTACCAGTGATTGTATGAGAGTAATGAGTGGTGAATAGAGCTTTTGAAGGTTAATTTTTCCGTATGAAAATAGTAACCTTGAAAATGAGCATTTTTATCAAGTTTGTTTCTTAAATCATTGACTTATAATAATCTCAGTTTAAGTATTTGCTTTTGTAATCTGATATAAGAATAATTATTTGGAGTTTTTTAATGTGATTTTTTACTTTGTTATAAAGTTGAATGGGGCAAATTTTATTTATTTATTTATTTATTTATTTATTTATTTATTAAAGATTTCTGTCTCTTCCCCGCCACCACCTCCCATTTCCCTCTCCCTCCCTCAATCAAGTCCCCCTCCCTCGTCAGCCCAAAGATCAATCAGGGTTCCCTGCCCTGTGGGAAGTCCAAGGACCACCCACCTCCATCCAGGTCTAGTAAGGTGAGCATCCAAACTGCCTAGGCTCCCACAAAGCCAGTATGTGCAGTAGGATCAAAAACCCATTGGAATGGGGCAAATTTTTAAAGTAAATATTGAGCATCTTGCCATTGGTATAGCTGAATTAGTCAAGACACCCATACTTGGCACTGCCAGCTTCTTCACCTGTAAGCAGCTCAGAGACAGCACAAGCATCTTCTTTTTCCTTTACACACTGAGAATCTCATAAAATGTTCTTTTAACCATGTAAAGCTTATTTTGTGACTTACAAATGTAAAGATTTTCACTTTTGATAGATAGTATTAAAGAACTAGCTATATCCTTTAATATATAAAGCTAATGCAGTTGCATGAGCTATACCTTGTTCTAAGATACTGTGCTGAGAAAGTTTATGAATAACTGAACAAGTGATATTTTAGTTATACCTTAAGAAATTGACTCAACTTCAATTATAATTGTTTACAAGAACTTACATAAATTTCAAGACAATTATTTTAATGACTTCTTCCAAATGTTTACATTCCCATAACCACAACGATCAATATGTAAAACATTCTATCACCCCAAAAAGTCCCCTGCTGTTCCAACAGTTCCCTGACCCCAAGCACCTAAGGTCTTTTTTCCCTCTGTCTTCTAGAGGAGTCTCCTTTGCTCTAGGATAGCATATAAAAGTAATCATATTCTATGTACTCTTTTTGGATCTGGCTTTTTCACATCTTATATTACAATTTATCTGTGTTGTTGCTTTTGTATCAGCTTTAGTTATTGTTTGTAGTAATAAGGGCGGCGGGGCTGCGTTCCCAGCACCCCGGCTGCCTGGCTAGCTTATGCCCGAAATAACAACACACAAACTGTATTCATTTAATCACTGCTTGGCCCATTTCTATCTAGCCTCTTCTAGGCTAATTCTCACATATTAATTTAGCCCATTTCTAATCATCTGTGTAGCGCCCCTAGGTGCGCTTACCGGGAAGATTCTAACCTATGTCCATCCTGGGTCGGAGCTTCATCACGTGTGTCTGCCTGGGAGCTGGGAGCATGGCTTCTCTGTGAGGCGTTTGTTCCCGAGAGGAGAGCTGTGGAGTCTGAGCTCACTTCCTCTTCCTCCCAGTGTTCTGTTCTGTTTACTCCTCCCACCTATCTTCTAACCAATAAAATGGGCCAAGGCAGTTCCTTTATTAGCCAATGACCTTCCTCCATCAATTGTTTCATGGTACCCCAGTTATGAATATATTATCTATCATTCAGTTCACTAGTTAACAAACACTTGCAGTGTTTCCAAATTTTAGCCAAAACAGCTACTATAAGCATTTTTTTATTGATTTATTTCTGAACATGTATTTTTATCTCTCATAAAATTGCTGGGCCCTATAATAAGTACTTGCCTAGCTTTATCAGATACTCCCAAACTATTTTCCAAAGTAATATATTCCTTTGCCACTCACATTTAGGAACTTTTTATTTGTTACATATCCTTGCAGTCATTTCTATTTAAATCATCACCATTCCCATGGGTAAGAATGTCTCCTCAAAATGTTTCAGTTGGCATCTTTTCATGCTTAATGTTGTGATTAAACGTCTTTTAATGTGTTTATTGGCCATCATATGCAGAGAGTTTGTGTCCTTGCTGAACCGTAAGGGACTTTACAACACTTGAGTCTACTGAGCCATCCCTTTGTCAAGAATATATTTATTGCACATACTTTCTCTGTCAGTAGTTTGTTTGGTTGTTTGCTTGAGTTTGTAATCCATTTTTGTTGTCATTCAGCTTTTTTGTTTAGTTTATTCTGCACTGAGGATCTCCCTAAGTAGTCCGAACTTTCCTCCATCTTGGAATTATTTCCTTTGCGTGGATGTGGGTATGGATGTGGAGAATTCAGAGGACAATCTCCAGAAATTAATTCTCTCCTTCTACTACGTGAATTCCGGGATTGAAATCAGGTCCTTGGGCTTGGTAGCAAGTGCCTTTACCTGCTGAGCCATTTCGCCAGCCCTGTGTCAATGCTTTCTGTTAAGTTTATATGTGTACGTTCTAAGAAACTTTTGCTTGTATCAATATGTTTGGTTTAGTGACTATTGAGGGGTTTGGGCACAACTACCTCAATCTGAAAAGGATATGATATAATACTGACAAGACCTAATAAAAGTCAAGGGCATTCTTAGGTTAAAAGACCCCAATCTGTGAAATCCTTTACGTTCTCTATGTTCTCTATGCAGTGTCTTTCTTAATGAAATTCTGCTGCAGTTGCTGCCAGTTTTTGTCACTTAGCAATGACTTCAGGTATCGGTTTTGTTAGTGAGACATTGTCCAAGATTCACCTTTATAGCTGAAGGCAGTTTTCATACTGCCTTTTTGGTAACAGTGTTAAAGTTCAGGCAGAAATCCTTAATAAATAAATAAATTAAAAAAAAAAAGATCCAAGCAGAGCAGCTGAGACACCAGCCTCGTGGGACTGAGAAGCTACTGGGTCCTTGGTCTTTCCATTCACAGTTAGTCATTTTTGTATGGTAGCCATAAACCATTTCAATAAATTTCCATATATTCATTAAAAAAAAATAAAGTTCAAACTTCATGAAAACACTGTTGTTTTCAGTAATAATGTTTAAGGATATTAGCAACAACTTTTCAATGTAGAAATTCAGTTAATGTTTGTTGAGTAAATTAACAATAACTATTCTTGATGTACACAAGAAAGTTATTTATATTTCTTGTCCTTATTTATATTTTTTGTCATTTGGTACTCTTAGTAGTTAAAGAAAGAAAAACTGAATTGTTAAGTGTAGCCATTTGTTGTGAGATTAGAGATTGGCTAAAGTTACATTCTTTTTGTAGTGAAATCATGAAAGTATTACACATTTTGGCTTCAAAAAATAATAAAACCCTCAAATCTTTATTTAATTGTTGAAAAGATCAGAAAGAAGTCAGGATAAAGGAGTAATAAAAATGAAAACATCCATTACTGGGATTTATACTAATTTATAAACTATCAAATTAGTCCTTTAAATTATTGTTAAATTCTGAGTTCAGAACAAGAATGTGGGCTTAGTGTAAAAGTGGATGGAAAGAACTGACCCACAAAGTGTCTTCTGACACACACACTGCATAGCATGTTTGCCCCAGTCTTGACAACCTGAATCTAGTTCCTGAGGCCACCATGATGAAAGGGGAGAACCAACTTCTACAAGTTGTTCTCTGACCTCCAAATGTAGCCTGTACCGCGTACACTTACTCACACAAAATAAATATTTTAAATTTTAAAATCTGCGGGGCGGTGGTGGCACACGCCTTTAATCCCAGCACTCGGGAGGCAGAGGTGGGTGGATCTCTGTGAGTTCGAGGCCAGCCTGGTCTACAAGAGCTAGTTCCAGGATAGGCACCAAAGCTACAGAGAAACCCTGTCTCGAAAAACCAAAAAAAAAAAAAAAAAAAAAAAAATTTAAAATCTGATTGAAAGAGAGCAAGGACAGGTATATGGGGGAGGGGAAATAATGTTATTGTATTATAATCTAAAACAATAAAAAATAACTTTTAATAATTTAAATTTGAACTTATATAAGCATATATAACCTTCTAAATTTTCTTTTGGTTTTCAGAGTGGTATAGTAGCTGGAGAATGATCTTTGGAAGAAGAAACTGTATTACAAAATCTGTGTTTTGATTCTCTTAGTTTCTCTGTTCATTAAGAAAACATAACCTTTTCCCTCACATCATGTTTGGTTATTTATTTTTTTTTTACTAGAAATATAGTAAAGACACTTGTTTTTTTTTTATTTTTTTTTGTTTTGTTTTGTTTTGTTTTGTTTTTAGAGACAGGGTTTCTCTGTGGCTTTGGAGTCTGTCCTGGAACTAGCTCTTGTAGACCAGGCTGGTCTCGAACTCACAGAGATCCGCCTGCCTCTTCCTCCCGAGTGCTGGGATTAAAGGCGTGCGCCACCACCACCCGGCAAGACACTTGTTTTAAAGAGGAAAAAAGTGTAAAAAAATATGTATAAATACACTGGAATTCTAATATTTATTTTTATTTTTTGCAGAAGAAGATAAATATAATATTTATTCGCCTTTGCTCTTCAAGTATTTCCTGGCAGAAGGAATCGTCAATGGGCATACTGTGTTGGTTGCATCTGCCAGAGAAAAGCCTGCCGACATTTTACAGGTATAGAATATACTTAATTCAACATACATTCTGCATGCTTCATGAAAAGAAATTATATACAAGCAAGACGTGTGCTTAAAATTATGTTTAAATACATTAATGGAAACCTTTGTTTTTCTGAGTCATATTTTCACTCTAGATTATGATTGGCTTCAAACTAACAGCAGCCCTGTGTCAGACTCTGGTACAATGGAATTGCAGGCCTGAATCACCATGCCTGACTCTTTTTCTGTTGTTTTGGTTCGGTTTTGGTCCTACTATGTAACCCAAGTTAGCTTTGAGCTTAGAATTTGCTCTCTCATATGTATATATTCCATACTTTCTTCATCCATTCTTCTATTGAAGGGCATCTAGGTTGTTTCCAGGTTCTGGCTATCACAAACAATGCTGCTATGAACATCGTAGAGCATATACTTTTGTTGTATGATAGGGCCTCTCTTGGGTATATTCCCAAGAGTGGTATTGCTGGGTCCAGGGCTAAGTTGATCCCGAATTTCCTGAGAAACCGCCACACTGCTTTCCAAAGTGATTGCACAAGTTTGCATTCCCACCAGCAATGGATGAGTGTACCCCTTTCTCCACAACCTCTCCAACAAAGGCTATCATTAGAGTACTACTCAGCAGTAAAAAACAAGGACTTCTTGAATTTTGCATGCAAATGGATGGAAATAGAAAACACTATCCTGAGTGAGGTAAGCCAGACCCAAAAAGAGGAACATGGGATGTACTCACTCATATTTGGTTTCTAACCATAAACCAAGGACATTTAGCCTATAATTAGGGATCCTAGAGAAGCTAAATAAGGAGAACCCAAAGAAAAACATATAGGCATCCTCCTGAATATTAACCTTCAGCAGGCGATGAAAGGAGACACAGAGACCCACATTGGAGCACCGGACATAAATCTCAAGGTCCAAATCAGGAGCAGAAGGAGAGCACGAGCAAGGAACTCAGGACCGCGAGGGGTGCACCCACACACTGAGACAATGGGGATGTTCTTTCAGGAATTCACCAAGGCCAGCTGGCCTGGGTCTGGAAAAGCCTGGGATAAAACCGGACTCTCTGAACATAGCGGACAATGAGGACTACTGAGAAGTCAAGAACAATGGCAATGGGTTTCTGATCCTACTGCACGTACTGACTTTGTGGGAGCCTAGGCAGTTTGGATGCTCAACTTACTAGACCTGGATGGAGGTGGGGGTTCCTTGGACTTCCCACAGGACAGGGAACCCTGATTGCTTTTCGGGCTGAGGGGGGGGGGACTTAATTGGGGGAGGAGGAGGGAAATGGGAGGCGGTGGCGGGGAAGAGACAGAAATCTTTAATAAATAAATAAATTTAAAAAAAATAAAAAAAGAAACAAAACAAAACACAAAAGAGTACAAAAATAAGACATGTAAGAGTTTCAGAAAACAGTACTAGATTTATTGAAAGACATGTAATTGAAGTATAATTATGTAAACTTAAATGGCACATGATTATGATTAAATTAATCTTATTTGAAAAAAAAAATTAGCTCTCTCATCTTCTTGAGTGCTGGGATTGTAGTCACTAATTACCACATCAGGATATATGTGGGGGATGTTGTTTCTATTTTATCTAAATGAAAAGCATCATTTTTAAGCAGAATTCTGTTTTAAGTTAATGTTATTAAAGAATTTTCTTTTAATCAGAAGTAAAAAAAAGTTAATGAACTATTTAAAACTGAACACAAATTACTGGACCCGACATTAATCATGTTTAATAACAAAACAACAACAATAAAGACTCAGTTTCTATTGCTCACTGAAAACGGAGGGAAACATACTCTAGTCTTTTACTTCTAATTGGCTTCCTCAATTGGACAAAAATCACCTTTTTTTTTTTATCCTAACTGCTACTATGCTCAGGCAGCTTTTCCAGAGGCAAGCCTTGCTTTCCTCCTGCTACAGTATGAAATAACTTGTAAGAATTCTGCAAAACAATGTCACCATAATGATTTTCACTTTTTAAATAAAAGTATAAGAAATAAGTACAATGTGGTAAAGCAAATAAATAAAAATGACATTTTTGTATTTTGATGTTTTTACTACTTTATGTTGTTTATTTCTTTGGTTTTTGGTTTTTGGAGACAGCGTCTTTCTATTATATAGCACTGGCTGTCCTGGAACTTGTAGTTTTCAAACCTGATATTGAGCTCAAAGAGATCTACTTGCCACTATTTCCCGAGTGCTGCGATTAAAGGTTTGCACTGCCATGCATGACCCTGCTTTATGATTTTATTTAACATATGCAAAAGTAAGCTGGTCCAAGTCATTAAAATACTTGGCATTTTTACTGCAAAGATAAAGCCAAAATTATATTATAAACCTACATAAAGAAATATTCATATAGCATTGTTATATGTAGTTGGTAATGTTCTTTGTATCACTATAATAAGAGAACTATAAAAAAGTAAGCTAAGAAAATATCTTCAAGTATCTGGAAGTGTGTCAATAAAAGGACAAAGACAGAAATCAGAGGGTATAGAAATTAGAAATACTTGTCATTTGATAGCCTTTTCTTTTGAGAATACCAGCAGTAACTCTTTTTAAGTAATAAGCAATAATGATAAAATACATGATCTGTGTGTTATATCTTTTCAAATGGCAAGAACGTTTTTTAGAGAATAATTCTGACTTGTAGAATATTTATTTCCTTTTTCTGGAACTGATCCACAGTTTAAGCCATTATTTGAATTAGAGTTCATGATCTGAATGAATTTCCTTTTAGCACATAGTCATGGAAATTTCCGATGCATGTCATTTGTATTAACTAGTTTTCAATATCTATGACACATTTCTTGGGATGACCTATCTTAAAAACATGAAAGTTGCTGGAGAGATGGTTCAGTGGTTATGAACACTTAGTGCTCCTAGAGAAGTCACAGATTTGCTTAGCAGACCCCACATCCGAAGGCTCACATTCAGGGATGTCTGATATCCTCTTCTAGCTTCCCTGGGCACCTGCATATACTTGATATACATAAATTCATGCAGACAGGTACACATACATGCATGTAAATAAAGTACATTTTTTTTAAGTGGAAGGGTTAAATTTTTTTGTGGTTTTAGAGACTGAAGTCCTTGATCCCTTGGCCTCATTGCTTTGGCCTCAGGACAGAGCACCATGGGGAGATAAATGATCTGTGCTCCTCTCATGGCCTCTGGGAGCAAAGAGTGAAAGGTAACAAAGGCCAGAAGGTCACCTGAGCAGATGACTTCCTTCAAAGAGGCTCTCATCTCCTAAAAGTTTCATAACACCTGATACTACAATAATAACATGGTAACCAAGCCTTAAAAACATAGGAGCAAACTCCAGACCTAAACTATATCATTATTTATAAGAAAGTGAGAGAATAAAATATTAATTTCTAACATTAGGCAGTGACAGAAGTAAACTTCTCCACTCAAGCATTAAGGTATTATAACACTAAACTTAAAACTAGGTTCTTTTATAGAGATCAGGCTTTATAATTTCCTTATGTATTTGTTTATTCAATATTTCCTTTACAGTTATTTTACAATATTTTATTTACAGTTATAATTTTGCTATGTATTATAGTAGGATAAATAAATGCATTTTAATATATATATATGAATACTATAAGGAAATAAAATTATATCTTTGTGATGTTCAATTTTAGACCTTACTGGGCTGCACAATACCCAGATACTTGGTCAGAGATTATTCTGGGTAGACCATGAAAATATTTTTGGATGAGAGCTACACTGAGTTTTTGTTTCTTTTTTTGGTTTGGTTTGGAATTTTTTTGTTTTGTTTTTTTGGGGGGACAGGCTTTCTCTCTGTAGCCCTGGTTGTCCTAGAACTCACTCTGTAAACCAGGCTAGCCTTGAACTCACAAAGATTCACCTGCCTCTGATTCCTGAATGCTGGAATTAAAAAGCATACACCTCCACTCCTCTGCTTCATTGAATTCTTTTATGCTGGGTAAATATGATTTTTTTTTTGTCTAGTATGGTGGGACTTTATCCAGTCTGTTGAATACCTGAACAGAATAAAATGGTTGATTATCTTGAGCATAAGAGTTATTGATGATTCTGGACTTGAACTCAGGCATTGTCTGTTTCCTGCCTTCTGACTTAATTGAAGCATCAATTGTCCCAGGACACCAACCTGTCAGCATTCACATTGGCATCACCCCCTGCTGTGCTGACTTTGGGCTTGCTTACCTGACTCTTCAGACCTTGAGAACTCACTCTGCAGGGCTTTAGGATTTGTCTGACTCCACAACTACTTTGAGCCAGGTTCTTGCAATCATCTCTTAAAATATTTATACATACATACATTTGAAACTATAATTTTAATATCTTAAAGAATTCTTTGCTTTTGACAAGCTTAAATAGTTCTTTTTATTTCCATTTTTAACATATATATTTTTATTTTGTGCATGAGTGTTTGCCTACATGTATGTCTGCACCATGTGAGGACCTGGTGCCCACAGAGCTCAGAAGAGGGTGTCAGATCCCTAGAACTGGAGTTACAGAAGGCTGTGAGCCTCCATGTACGTGTTGGGAACCAAACATAAGTCCTCTTCCAAAGTTGCAAGTGCCCTCAAACACTGAGCCACCTCTCCAGTCCTCTTCCTTTGTTTTAAAGTTGCCATTTTTCTTGATTTTTGTCTCTTACCCCAAGGTTTACTGAATTGTAATTGGGAAGAGAAAACTGTATATATTCACTATTTATAACGTGAGGAGTGTGTGTGTGTGTGTGTGTGTGTGTGTATGTATGTATTCACAGTGAAATGATTCCCACATCTATGACCTACCACAGCTGCCATTGTTAGTGTAGTGAACACACTTTAGACCACTTTTTAGCTGTAATTTTTATGTTCCCAGAATTTACTCACAGCCAAAAATTTTGTATGTTTTAAGCAGAATCTCCCTGTTTCTCTCACTATCTAGCACCAGGTAACGCTATGTTTTGCTCTGCCATAGTGGGTGTTTTGAAGCTAGGAGTGTT